GGTCCCTGGGAACACTTGGAACTTGCTTTCAATGTTTCTAACTGGAAACTCTCGTAATCAACTCCTCTTTTTTAGTCTCTTCTCTCGAGTGAGTGTTCGTCTTGAATGTTATTGGCATTCATTCTGGATGGTGTGTGTTTGTTTTGTTGTGTTGTGTTCATTCTTGTGCTACACAGATATTAGATAGATAAATAATGGTCCATGCGAAAGAACTTGGTGTGGTGGTAGGTAGAAATATGTGCATAAATGTTTTCCCCTTCCAACAGCTGAATGTTTGTAAGGGGAAGTAGTTGGACGATCTGTTGTTTTGTTGAATGATTTGGTCAAAAGGAGTATAGAATTAGAATACGTGAAGTTAGGAAATTAAAGAGTCGGGTCCGGCAGGAGCAAGTATGGGTAGGAGATGATTAAAGAAAGCAGAATTTGCAAGTAATGAGGATTGAGGAACCAAAACCAACAGCAAAAAAGACAAAAAGATGGGGAGGCAATTTTGGAAGCTTGAGAGAGTAGTCATTTTTGTCGGAGAGCGATTTGGCAATTTTCTCCAATTTATTTTGGATTCACATTCTCATTTCTCAGAGTTATCGGTGTTGGAATTGGAATTCCAGTTCCAATTTGTTGTGGATAAGAATTAAGAATTAGTCACTCTTCTCTTCCTCCACTACTTGCATTTGGCATTTGCATTGTGATGTGTGATTGTCCTTTACCCGAATCCTCTTACCAAATTATTTCAATCTTCATTTCATTTGCCACAACCTACCTTTGTCTTTGCCTTTGCCTTTGCCTTTGCCTTTTGCTTTCATAAACCCAACTTCCTCACATTTATCCATAATCTCATCACGTTTACTGTAACAAGCAATCCTATTGGTCCAACACAAATAAGTCAACAGCTCTATGTCGTTATGTTTCCATTATTCCAGTCCATTTAACAATTCAAAGGAAAAAAAAAAATTGAAATTAGTTGTTAGACATTCTTTATCAACTAATTAAAACATTGGTGTCCAGTTCTGACAAATTTTAGAAATAATCTTTTTGATCATATTTTAAATTAAAGAACATTAAGATTATATATTATTTTATTAGTTTCATCTAAACTATCAAAATATGCATCAATCCGAATGTAACTGAGTAGATAAAGATACTATCTTTCAAGATTGATGTCCACCTTGCAATTGTTGAACTTGAAAAAACAAAAAAGGGGCAGTTAGCTACATGTCATAGAATCTCCATTTGCATCAACTATGTGTTGTATGTCTAAACGTCTTGATTTGAAGGATAGTTGGTAGGCTTGTTGCTTGATTTGTGAAAAATGTGTGGAATTAATGAATTAAAAGTAGTAGTAAGAGAAGTAGAAGATAATAATAATTTGATTAGATTAGAAATACATGTATGTACGTAGTGTGGGGGGAGAGGGGAGAGGGGAGAGGGAGTTTCAATTTCTGAAAGTGAAACACCATAGAGTTTGAGTTTGAGGAGAAGAAGAAAGTGGCGTGGGATGAATTTGGTTATGAACAGTCCGAAAGTGGTGGATGGGGCAAGGGATTATGATGGGGCCCTTGTGTTGGAACCCATACTCGTCCTCCGCCTCCTTCAGAAGCTTCATAAACAGCGGATGGTTGACGTCAATCACAGGAATCACAAACCTCTGCTGCTCCTCCATCTCGCATCGCCCCACCACCACCGCCACGTACCCTTTTGGGATTTCTCCCTCTCCCATTTCTCTGCTTCTGCTTCTGCCTCTGCCTCTGCTTCTGCCTCTGCCTCTGCTTCTGCTGCCCAATTACTACTTACGAATTACGATCTTGATTTCTTGCTTGCTGTCTTGGTTATAGGAACACCAGGGAGAAGAACAGCCATGCGTCGGAGTTACAATCTGCAACATTCCTCCTCATCATCATCATCAATCTAACATTCCACATTTTAAAATCTATTCAAATCCAATACTATAAATACTAAATACTTTCTGTTTCTTGTTTCTTCTTCTTTTTCAATCCCTCCAATACTAACCGCCTCGCTTACTTTATTCCTATTTCCTGTCATCAACTAACCACTCTCTTCTCTCTCCCTCTCTCAACTCTCAACGCCTAATATACTTTTCCTTTTCTGTTTCTCTATCAATATGAAAACTCAAATTAATTACTATTCCATCCACAATCCTTCAAATCAATGCCAATTTTAACATCTATAATTCCTTACTTTCAGTTCTCCCCCTCTTAAAATAATAATAATCCACCTGATCAAACTTCCATAAACTTAGATCCATCTCGATAACCATAAGACTTTAAGTAAAAATAAATATAAATTTTGTTTAATTAAAGTCTCTCAAATTATTTCAGGTTAAACCTAAATGACCGTGCCCCATATTTTCTAAGAATAAAAAAGACTGCCATTTTGATTGCCTTGAGATTAGAATTTAATAATATGAAATTAGAGATGATTTCTTCCAATCCAGATATCCAGATAATGAAGTTGTTCAGTTGAAATAATTATATTTAATAATACATATATATATTTTTTAAATAACAATGCATTTCTAACTTTTAAATCAAATGTATAGTATTTGTAGGTGAAAGATTACTTAACAATCGTTTTAAGGAGGACGGGACACAGCTCATTGATTTTGTTATTTGTTTATAACAACTTTGATTTGTTTTTTTTTTCCTTTCTATTTCTGCAATTCTTAATCAGATTTAAATATATATATTATGTTTTAAATTTCGCTAAAATTTGAAAACAACAAGAACTGGTTGAGAAGGTTAAGAGTTGGATTCCAAAAACAAGTATGGAACCAACCCAAGTAAAAATTAAGAACAAATAGAGAAAACTCGTTATTATTATTATTTTTTAGATGGGTCACTACTTATTATCATTTTTTAAGTTAATGGTTTGATGTCTCACCTTTGCAATTATTTATTATTTTTTTAAAAAAAGGGAAATATATTATTAATTAGAAACTGCATTGGAAGGAAAATAACCCTTAATAGTATTGAAAAGGAAGTAGGGAGGTGGCACATTGCAGGTTTGAGGGAGGTGGTGGAACAAGATGGAAGCAAAGTCCTTGCATCCATCAACCAAACCAGAGTTGAATTTTCTCCATGGACCAGCTTAATTGCAAACCAGCAATCGGATTCCACTAGTAAGATGGTCGCAATTTATAGAAAAATTACAATACGCACAAGACTCGCTTTTGTTGAACTAAAACAAATCTCAAAAGTTAATTATATAGTAATAGGTGGATTGTTATTTTTTTACCAATTAAATTAAATTATGTCGAGGAGGACAAATATTAATTATTTTTAAGACTTAAAACAATTGAGAGAACAAATCATTACAAGATTTTACATTAAAATTTGCCCCTCTCTCTCTCTTTGAAGTACAATTTCTGCCCCTGTTTAAAGTTAAAAAAAAAAAAAATAGCAAAAATGAAAAAAGAGAAAAAAAGAAAAAAGGAAAAGACCTTTACACATTCTCCGCTCTGAGTTTCTTCTGTAAACGGGAAACAGCGCGCCACCGCCGTGGCTGACCGAAACATATAATATAAAGGAAAATAGGTGACGTAAAAAAGGGAGGCGTGTCAGGAATGTCGGCAGACATATGTCAAATTTCCTAACCTCAAATCTGATCAAATTGAATCAACCATCCTCCGTGGCCGTGGATTTCAATTGTTCCCCGGTACACTCCCAGCGGCATTCGACGCCGGCGGCCAAGGAATCGGTGATGGGAACAATGACCAAAATGCTCTCCCCGGCTGCGGCGCACAGAAACGTACTGAAGAAGACAACAAGAGTAACAACCGAGTAAGTGGGGTCGTCGGGCTTCCAGTGCGCCGATAAACCGAGGAAGATAATCTGCAAGGGCAAGGCGAGCATGATGGTGAAGGCGAGGCCGTAAACCCGAATCCTGAGGGACTTGTTGATGACGAGGGACGCCACTTTCCA